AAAATATATTTTAAAAAGTCACACATAGGTTTATTGATAACTAAATTGTCCCTAACATGCATGTTTTTGGTCTGAATGAGAAAATCTGAGTGAAGAACATTCAAACTCAGGCCAGGAGGCGATTCTCTGACCTTCTTGCTGAGAGACAACAGTCCAAACCACTGCACCACCATAGCACTCAACCCTTCCTGTATTTTTTTTTTTGTAAAGTATCCCATTACCAAATGGACTGGATTGAAACTCTGTAAGTAATGCATAAATGTACACCTACAACTTTTTACCTTTTGTGGCAAACCCAATTCAAGATGGCTGCCAATAGCTAATCACACTTAACAAGCACAGAAATATCCCTTTTTCGGTCAATTTTACAGATATTGGACTCAAACTTGACATTTTAACTGATGAAGACTGGCGGCAATATACATTTCTTAAAAGGAATGTTAAGTTTTTATTTGATACAGTTCTTTGACACAAAATAATAATATTTTGCTTTTTCTCCAAGTTTTAATGAAAAACAGCATAATCATCAGTCTTGTATTTTTAGCTCATACTGAAGTGAAACATTAAAGTACCTGTGACATCAAATTTTTGTCATAAATTTGAAATCATTTTTTGGAAAGCCAACACTGATAACATAAAGCAAAACAAATTTCACGCCGCTGAGATGAACAGTTGTTGAGATATTTGCATGTAAAGCGACAGGAAGTGATGTCAAAGGGGAATGTCTGCATGTGAGCAGAGCATTGATAAAATGTTTGACAACACAGACTGTAGAGAAGAATCTGATGTTTCTTTAGATCATTTTGAGTCACTATCAGAGACATGAAAAAGAGTCAAAGTTCAAACAATGTTTCAATAAGGAAAGATCAGAGCAAGAGAGTTTTCTTTCTTAAAGAGTTCCCCTTTTTTGTCACTTCCTGTTTCATTTTGGCTGAGCTACATCCAAAAGAAAATATGCTGGTTATGTGACAAAATGGGTAAAATCATGTGTATTATGCTAAGTTTCATAAATATAATAATTTCTTAGACCTTTTGTATTTGAAGGATTTGCACGTCACAGGCTCTTTAAACTTCAGGCACATCCAGATGTGGTTTCATAAAGTTTTCTTCTTAGTACGTTGCTGTTTTAAATGTCTGGATGAGTTCCTCTGGTGCAGCAGAGTGTGCAGCATGACGCCTGTGGCCACAGAGACGTTTAGAGACTCGATGCCCCGACACAGGTCCCTTCCAGGTGGGATGGTGAGCAGAGTTTCGCACAGAGACAGCAGCCTCTGGGACAGCCCGTCCCCCTCGGAGCCCAACAGCAGCATGGTGGGTTTGGACAGGTTAAAGTCTGAACACGGGACGACGGGAATGCGGGGCCTCTCTGCCTCGGCTCCCACCGTCCCGACTATCTGCCAGCCCTCCGCCGCCTTCAGCTTCAGCAGGTCCTCCAGGTTCTTGTGCCCGTACACCCTCATCACCTCCATGGCGCCCGAGCTGGCCTTACTGACCACTGGAGTAAGAGGACAGCCGTGGTGAAGGCTGCTGACCACCCTGTCCACGCCCAGGAAGTAGGCAGAGCGCAGGATGGCACCGAGATTCATCGGGTCCAGGATTCTCTCCAGGACAAGCCACAGAGGGACGCCAGAGGCCACTTCAGGTTCAGAGTCCACTGTAAGAAAGCTCAGAGGACTCGCTCGCAGACAAACTCCTTGGTGGACTCCTCTGGAGGACACCCTGTCCAGTGTTGACTTGCTGACCCGAGTGATTTGGACTCCTTGCCGACGTGCCTCCTCAAACACCTTCACCACTGATGCCCTCTGAGAGGTCTTACCATCCTTCACAAGCAGCTCGTAGGCCTTTCTTCGACGCTGAGTGAGAGCCAACAAACAAGGGGCCACGCCAAAGACCACCTCTCCTTTGGGGTCCACTGCTGCCTTTGCTCTCATCTGCTTCTTCCTTTCTGCAGGGAAATCTTCCAGACACAGTTTCCTGAGTTCTGACGAGACTTTGGAGGTGTCGTCCGTCCACTGATTCTGCAGCAATGGAGTTTTGATCTTTGAGGGTTTACTCTGGGATGACCTCCTGGAGCCCTGCACACCTTTAGGCCTCTGCCCAAGACTGGGTGACCTTCTGGGGCGTTCCCCCACACGAGAGTGAGAGTCTAARTCTCTGTCCTCTGGACTCAGGAGACAGGCTGTACGATGGTAAGAAGCTGACTGAAAGCCCACTCTGGAGGTGGGCACCAGTGTTTGCATATTTCTCCCCCAAATAAGATTAAACTTGTGCGCACAGGACCACATTTTTTTAAACGACAAAAACTAATCTAGCTGTCTGGATGAAACTTGCCTGAAAAGTCTGTTAATCCACGAATCAATACACGAATCAAAATATCTTACAAATAACGTATCATTAACAATTTAATCCTCGTTTTCCCTTGATCAAAGCACGTTGGTGTTTTACTCTCCGGCGCATGCGCAAATAGAGCTAAATCAAGTAACATGTTTTCTGACCGGATGTGACATGTTTGGCGTACAAAATAAAAGTTTGATGTGTGAATTTCATACAGACCTACATAAAAACAGTGAAGTCGTATCATTTTTTTCATTAATAACACCTATAACTTCATTATATTCGGAT